ATCCTTTGATACGTCACCACTCTAACCGTCCTTTGATAATTCACCATTCTAACCGCCCTTTGATACGTCACCATTCTAACCGTCCTTTGACATGTCACCATTCTAACCGTCCTTTGACACGTCACCATTCTAACCGTCCTTTGATACGTCACCATTCTAACAGCCCTTTGACATTTGATACGTCACCATTCTAACCGACACGTCACCACTCTAACCGTCCTTTGATAATTCACCATTCTAACCGTCCTTTGATACATCACCATTCTAACTATCCTTTGATACGTCACCATTCTAACCGTCCTTTGATACATAACCATTCTAACCGTCCTTTGATACGTCACCATTCTAACAGCTCTTTGCCACGTGACCATTCTAACTATCATTTGACACGTCACCACTCTAACCGACCTTTGATAATTCACCATTCTAACCGTCCTTTGATACATCAATACATCACCATTCTAACCGTCCTTTGATACATCCCCATTCTAACTGTCCTTTGACACGTCACCATTTGAACATTCCTCTGATACATCACCATTCTAACCGTCCTTTTACAAATCACCATTCTAACCGTCCTTTGACACGTCACCATCCTAACCGCCCTTTGACACGTCACCATTCTAACCGTCCTTTAACACGTCACCATTCTAACTGTCCTTTGACACGTCACCATTTGAACATTCCTCTGATACATCACCATTCTAACCGTCCTTTTACAAATCACCATTCTAACCGTCCTTTGACACGTCACCATTCTAACCGCCCTTTGACACGTCACCATTCTAACTGTCCTTTGATACGTCACCATTCTAACCGCCCTTTGACACGTCACCATTCTAACTGTCCTTTGATACTTCACCTTAGTTCTTTGGTAGTCACCTCCTGTATGGACTCATTGCCACTATCCTTTGATACGTCACCATTCTAACCGTCCTTTGATACATAACCATTCTAACCGTCCTTTGATACGTCACCATTCTAACAGACCTTTGACACGTGACCATTCTAACTATCATTTGACACGTCACCATTCTAACTGTCCTTTGACATGTCACCATTCTAACCGTCCTTTGACACGTCACCATTCTAACCGTCCTTTAACACGTCACCATTCTAACCGTCCTTTGACACATCACCATTCTAACCGTCCTTTGACATGTCACCATTATAACCGTCCTTTGATACGTCACCATTCTAACAGCTCTTTGCCACGTGACCATTCTAACTATCATTTGACACGTCACCACTCTAACCGTCATTTGATAATTCACCATTCTAACCGTCCTTTGATACATCAATACATCACCATTCTAACCGTCCTTTGATACATCACCGTTCTAACTATCCTTTGATACGTCACCATTCTAACCGTCCTTTGATACGTCACGATTCTAACCGTCCTTTGATACGTCACGATTCTAACCGTCCTTTGATACGTCACGATTCTAACCCTCCTTTTAATACGTCACCATTCTACCCGTCCTTTGATACATCACCATTCTAACCGTCCTTTGATGCGTCACCATTCTAACAGCCCTTTGACACGTGACCATTCTAACTATCATTTGACACGTCACCACTCTAACCGTCCTTTGATACTTCACCATTCTAACCGTCCTTTGATACATCAATACATCACCATTCTAACCGTCCTTTGATACGTCACCATTCTAACCGTCCTTTGACACGTCACCATTCTAACCGCCCTTTGACACGTCACCATTCTAACTGTCCTTTGATACTTCACCTTAGTTCTTTGGTAGTCACCTCCTGTATGGACTCATTGCCACTAAACAAAGCCAGATCATTCACCATCTTTATTGCCTTTTCTCCATCTGCTAAACCTTTAATGGCTTGTTTCTGCAATTAAACAAAATTCTTTTCTATCAATTATTATGAGAGTAATTGACATTTTACAGGTTTGTACAACATATTACATTGAAAAGAACAATTAGAAGATTGGAAATTTATTTCAGAAATTGTGTATATTTAACCTGTGCCGCCCCGCCTCATTAGAAATGCATTTCTGGTTTGGGTCGTGTAGTACCTTAATTATCTGTATATATACACGTAAACAAACAAAAACGGTTTTCCTCACCCGACCTCACTCAAACCAGCTTTGACTCAAAGTCATGAATTAGTAACTTCAATGCTAAAACCAAACCATCTTTCTAGATGGCAGATCATTTTACCAAAATTTGCATGAATCTGCTTCCAGATAGCCAGATAGCCAGATAGCCAGATAGCTTAAAAATGTGCATGCAGGCGTACAAATTTGAGGGTAACCATATATAATACCAATACAAATACCTGTATTTAACATATCTTATTCATATATTTTTTTATCTGATGGAAGTGTTTCTACAATGGTTCATGCTTTTATTATGCACCTATGATGAAAGATGTCTAGTTTGGCACAACAAACTCAAATTATGTACAGGGAAATTACTATTTTGAAAATAGAGAATGTAATAAAACAAAATGTGTTGAAAGGTTTGTTTTATTTGTTTTTAAAAAATGTGCCAAATCTCACCAGAAGACACAACATATGCTTTGCCGTGACAACTCAAAACTTTTAAATTTGAAGTGAACATTTTGTCATCCTTTATTACCTACCACATGATTACCCAATGGGGGTCCTGACCTCCATTGAGAGATTCAGGGTTTCGCATGTATCAACATGCACAACTAGTAAGCAAGGGGAATCTAGATAAGAAATTTGAGAAAGATTAGTCGAGTACTTCTTGAGAAATAGCAATAGAAAATTTTAACTCTCAAAATCCAACATGTGAAATTTGAAAAAAAGTTGCCTCCTTTTCTTTCTGAGAAATTGTGCTAACAAACTTTATTTCTCAAAATTCAAGATGGCCACCAGTGCAGTAGTTCATGAGTAATGGCAATACAATTTATCAGGTAACAACTCTTGAACTGTCAAAAGCCAAGATGGTTGCACAACCAGGGCCAAATAGAAAATTACATATGAAATTTGAGAAAGATCTGTCACATAAATCTTGAGAATTAGTGATAACAAACTTGAACTGTCAAAATCGAAGATGGCTGCCTAGGCAACAGCCATCTTACTTTTCTGATCAATCTGAAAAAGAAACAAGGACAACGACAGACCATGAGAGACCTATACATGAAATATGATAATGATCCATCAAGTAGTTCTTAGAAAAAACAACAAGAATTGTTTAAAGATGGACAATGGATGGGCCATGAACAAAGGGTGATTGGATGTGAAAAGGTATGGGTTCACCTGCCCAACCATGTGAGTTTTCTCCAGGTACTCCAGTTTCCTCCCACATTAAGACCCCCAGTGCGTTAAAATTCAGGCCAACATTAAAGAGTGATTAATATAAGTGGTAATAACTTGTTTCATAATTGTTGTAAGAAATATAAGGTTGATATATAAAATCAAACTCAAAACTTTGTTGATTTTTACTGATGCTCAATATACATCATCCGGGTCATTGTTAGATCTTGTATGGGAGTGTATCGTAAAGGAGCAGAATTACGAGTCTTATTTTAATCAGATTGTTTCATGCACACGATTGTTTTGAAGAAAAACATGTTCATTTCAATGAAAATATATTAATGCTTTTAATTTTAATGATATGTCCCAAGTGAACATGACTGAGAGTAATTTGGTTTCATAAAACAACAATAAATTGACAATTTTGATGTCATGTTTATATAATTTATTTCCATCACTTTGATATATATATAAAAAGAAATAACTGTCGTTGTGTATTTTATCCCTCTGCAAAAAGTTCCCGTTTTGGTCAAGGAAGACAACTCTCACCAGCCTTAAAGTGATTGTAAAATGTAAAATAAATGAGTTATAAAGACATTGTGTATATTTTATTCCTTTTGTATGAAGCTATATGTGTCCTGTTTGCTTTTAGCTGGTAGATAATCACTTTTACCCGTACAATTTCAATAAAAACCACTTTGTGTAACATGTTTTGTGATAAGAAGGGTTGATTAGCAATGCTTCTTTAATATTTTTTATCATTATTGTTTCGAACAATGACACTCACCAAAAAATAGGAAGTATTAAATTGACAAAAAGTTCTTTTATTTTGGTATTAAGAAATTCTCAGCCTATCAAAACGCTTAGATTTACATAAAATCGCCTCCACATCAGTGCATAACCATTATGTGAAAGTTTCAACGAGTTCTGCTGGTTAATTGCAAAAGTGTGGAGCCGCCTTAATAAATTAACATTGTCAATTACCCCTTATGGAACAACTGGTTCCGGATTTGGGCCGATAGTTGCCTTCAAATCTCTCCGACACGTGCACTTTTGGTAAAGACGGAAATTGAAGCCAATTGTGGCAGATTTTAATTGTACATTGGATTACGGTCGCCTTCTAGCTTCGAGCTAGAGGGAATTTCCTTTTAGCTCAGTGGTAGGGCATCCGACTAGGAAATCTGGGATTGCAGATTTGATCCCCGGTGGAAGTGTAAAAGATGTGCATTGATTAGGTTGCCTTACGAGTGTCAGCTGTAGGGAATTTTCCTTTAGCTCAGCAGTAGAGCATCGGGCTTGAGAGACAAAGGTCACAGGTTCGAGCCCCAGCCGTAGACGGCACTATCTTTCTCACTATTCCTCGTCCTATTACAGAAGCACACAATATTCCCTTTCCTGCTACAAATGGTGTCTGCGGCCCTCTCTGTGGTGACAGGAAGTTAGAACCCTGGGTTGTGGTGTTCGAGGGCGAACATGGGGGTGGGGGTGNTAGCTTTGAGCTAGGCTCGATCCTCGGTGAAAGCACACTACTCTCTGCCATGTTACACAATGAAATCGAATTATATAAATAGCCATGACACCAACATTATTTAAAGTGTAACAACATAAATGAACATGAAAAAAGGTGATCAAAATGTTGTGCTGATCTAAGTTGGTTTTTTTTCTCATAATAGTTACACCGTACTGTCAAAGTATTTACCGTCGAATATAGATATACTCCGAGAAAACAACTTTTTCTGTCGTACTCCGTGATAACGGTTTGGGGCGAATCGTCTAATTCTAAGTACAATTGTGGAATTGACAGAATGTATCAACGATATTTTAATCAGTCTTTACTTTACCTGAACAGGATATGACTTAGTGTCTTCTTGTGTTTTCTCTAAGAACTCCCATGCTTTCCAAATATTTTCAAATAGGTCTGGTAACCTTTCGGCTCCTGAGTCTAACCCTACTTCTCCCTCGGCCATACCGGATAGTATATATTTTGTCAGCGTCGATGAAACGTTTTTCAGGAAGGGTAAAATATAGGCCTCTTGCTGAAGCGCTATTTCAACACCGACAAAAATAAACATGGCATCCTCGATGACTTCTCGACAGATATTTCGACAGCTTTCAAGGGAATTTCAGCTTATACACCCAAAAGTATGGATTGTACTTTATCAGATACTTTTTTAAAAGTTTTGTTTGATATTTGATTACAATTTAAGCTATTATACATTGTCACATCCCCAATATTTGCCACGTCCTTCAACGACCAAGACAGCACTACTGTAACAGTTACTATAACCTCTAATGTTTGACAAGCGATGTCGCAGTCGACCAGGGGCCTCTTATGTTATAGGAGAATACTTTTTAGCCTCGTCTGTCAAATTGTCAATACACATCATCTATTTATGGATTCGGAATATTCTAGATGGTTTGTATTCAGACTATTCAGATTTAAAGTTATTGATCCCTATTTTGTATTATGCCAGATTTGTAATGTTGTACTCTTACTCTACTCTGTGATATTTATGTATTATAATATGCCTATTTTAGCTGAATAAATATTATTATTAAAGGGTTTTGGCAAGGGTTTTTTATAATTTCCAATTCTACAGTCATATCAGGTCCAGTACACTCTGCCGATTGAGCTATATAGCGGTAAAGACCTATAATGGCTCTATTGACCTATCTGAAATAGGTCTTTTGAGCTATTTTCAAGTGATTTTCTTTTTTTAAAGAAAACGAAACAAAGTCGCTTTTAAAAGAAGATTGTATCATTAGGTTGATAACAAAAGACATTAAATATAAGTATTCTTTTTAAAAAATAATGATGTAAAAAAATCGGAAATTTTACATTTATGAAAAATGAAAATAAACATCTAACTGTATGCTCTTTGTAGTCAACATTACCATAAACCTTATTGTTTTATGCGACTTTGCTTTAATTTAATGAAATTTGAAATCTGAGAAAATATAGCTCAGTACAGCTATAATTTATAGGTGTATATAGCTATATAGGTTTTTATAGCTATATAGCTCAATCGGCAGAGTGTACTGGACCTGCATATAGCACTTGTAGTCACAGAGACTATAATTAATTGGAAATATATATATATTCAGATGCTGGACAGGTCAGGTAATGGACCATCCATATTAGCCTAGTGAATATGCATATTTTGAGGATGATACAATGTCATGTGACATGTGAAGTTATAGTGCAGCTGAATAATAATTATATTTATTCAGGTAAAAGGCAGACAATCCATGTATATCACATTTTACAAATTACACATAAATATATATATTATCACAGATGTTATTTATCAGCTATTTATGCCATAGAGCTAGTAGGCCTAATCAATGGGCCTGAATCGCTCACCTGGTATTAATCTCACACTTGTAATCTTAAAAGTGGACTAAAATACAGCTACAGGCAGAATATCAGTGTTTGATTCATAAGAACCTATTAAAAGATTTAAACATATGACACCTGTGACCTTGAATGTCGAACAAGGACATTAGGTTGAACAGAGTTTAAAGTCTTACATCCCAGCATGCTTTCGGCAAAATATCATTACCCTGGACCTTTTGGTTATACAGAACAAGTCATTTAAAGATTTAAACATATATTGACCACTGTGACCTTGAATATGGGCGAAGGTCATTCATTTTGACAAAATTGGTCGCCCTTCATCCCAGCCTGTTAATGACCAAATATCATCACCCTTGGCCTTTTGGCTAATTGAGAAGAAGTCATTTAAAGGTTTTAAACATATTTGACCCCTGTAACCTTGAGTATATGTAAAGGTCATTCATTTGAACAAACTTGATAGCCCTTTATCCCAGCATGCTACTGGGCAAATATCATTATCCTAGGCCTCTTGGTTATTCAGAAGAAGTTGTATAAAAGTTTTAAACATATTTGACCCCAGTGACCTTGAATATAAGTAAAGATCATTCATTTGAATAAACCTGGTTGCCTTTTATCCCAGCATGCTATTGGCCAAATATCATCATCCTAGGACTTTCGGTTATTGAGAAGAAGTTGTTTAAAGGTTTTAAACATATTTGACCCCTGTGACCTTGAAAATAAGTAAAGTTTATTCATTTGAACAAACTTGGTAACCCTTCATCCTAGCGTGTTACTGGCCAAATATCATTATCCTATGCCACTTAGTTATTCAGAAGAAGTTGTTTAAAAATTTGTTAAGACAATTGATCCATGTGACCTTGAAAATGGACGAACGTCATTCATTTGAACAAACTTGGTAGCCCTTCATCCTAGCATGTTACTGGCCAAATATCATTATCCTAGGCCTCTTAGTTATTCAGAAGAAGTTGTATTAAGATTTTTTAAGACAATTGACCCTTGTGACTTTGAAAATGGATGAAGGTCATTCATTTGATCAAAATTGATAGCTGTTCATCCCAGCATGCTACTGGCCAAATATCATCACTCTGGGCATTTTGGTTATTCAGAAGAAGTTGTTTCAAGTTTTTAACATATTTGACCCCTGCGACCTTGAAAATAGGTGAAGGTCATTTATTTGAACAAACTTGGTAGCCCTTCATCCCAGTTTGCTTCTGGCCAAATATCATCACCCTAGGCCTTTTGGTTATTAAGAAGAAGTTGTTTAAAGTAAAATATTGATGACGGACGCTGCACCATGGCATAAGCTAAAAACTGGATTTGATTTGATTAATTTAGGCCTTGACCTGGGATGACCCATAAATCCACATTGTGGCTTAATTCCAATGGGGTCCCTTGACCCTTTTAATATATGGCTGCTGAAGTTTATGATAGCTATTTCTCATAAAGTGAATTTCAGATTACATACGATTTCAAGAATTGAGAGGTTCTTCCTGTGAATCTGATTGTGAATATTTCAACCAACAACTTCACTTTGATAGTACAATGTCAAACACAGCAGTATAACAATTTTAACCAACAAGGTGGTTGACTCTCCTTGACTATAGCTATCGTTCCCTGAGGTAAGCTGTGTAGCTGTCCATGCATTTGCAGTGCCTTGCCAAACACTACTGCACTGAAACCCTAATTTCCAACCCAAACCAGATTATATTTATGCTAGGCAACCAGTGTCGATCATCATAGTAATGGGTCTTGGACACAACCATTGCTGGCTATGTGAGTTTCCAAACCTACATACAAGGAAAATGTATAAAATATCCTAATTATTACTTGGTTTCAGTACAGATTTTGTTTGATGAATTGACAGGTAAAACTTGAGGATGTACCTGCCTTCAAACACATGACAGAGCAGTTCAAAAAATTCCAGGCAACAGGAAAACTTTTGTGCCGCGCAGACAACGAGGTCCAATATGTTGCAGATACTTACAGATGTATGCTGCAGAGCACCAGGAAACATGATGTAATTAAATAATGATAAATCTTTACTGAATATAGAATTAAATCTTCCTCCTTCTCCCTCCCTTGACCCTTTTACACATTCCTTCCCCCTCCCTACCTCTTCTTTTCCCCCATTCGCATGAAGTAGAACTTCAATGCATGGTCAAGGTCTCAGATAATTACTTCAATATCCTCTCAACAGTTAATGGTTCCAGAATAATATCATAAAACAGTTTTATCGGGACTGATGCATTTTGCTTCTTGGTATAAGGTCAAGGTCAGGTGATGAAATTTCTTTTTTATGGTAAACAATGTGTCACTTAATTTTGAAGCAGTACTGTGGAGATTAAGACATGTTGCTGATTAAAGGTCAAGATTAGTGGCCAAGGTCTCAAATGATATATATGTTTCTAAATGGTAAACAATGCATATAAGACATCATTATCAAGTCAAGTTATTGAAACTGATGTGAGGTAGACTCTTGGGGTATGATCAAGGTGCCTTGGGTCGGGTCATAACAGTCAGAATTTATATCTTATTGGCAAAATTAACCACATTATGGTGTACAATGCTGTAGGATTCAGGTTTAATGCCTTGGTGGTCAAATTCGACATTCCTTTCCAGTTAGTCCAATGATCCTTCTATATTTGGTGGTGTCACTCCCTGTGGGATATCTTGTATCGACAGAGAGACTGTGACACCTGATCAGATTCCTTTATCTTTGATGTCAAACTTTACAGGAAATGTAGCTTACAGAAAAATCATTGGTTTTAAATTGGATATGACACATGTGAAATGTCAGGAAAATCTTGTCAAACTCATGCAATACATATGATATTTAACAGGAAACATTGTAAAATATATTAACAGGAAATATGAAATATACATGATATTCAACAGGAAACATTGTAAAATATATCTGATATTCAACAGAAAATATAAAATATGCATGACATTCAACAGGAAATATTAAGATTTACATGATATTCAACGCCATATATATATATACTGTCACCATATGTTGAGACGTGGTTTATAATTGATCTTTTTTGCTTTTAAGGAATTGATGAAGATGTATGGTGGAAAAGCAGACAGGAGTACGGAAGAGAGTGCAAATTTAGTCGGACTGACTCTGCCCAAATGTTAACACATGAAGCTTTCCTATAAGTTTGATGATGGATATTAGACTTCGGAGGCTGGATAGAACTTATCCTCTTTGTAACAAGGTGGACACTAGTGAAATACTAGAATTTTGTAATTATGTGACTTGTCCACTTAAACGATGATTGACAGGTTAAAAACAGGTTATTTTTAACCGTAGCCAAACTAGAGCTGAGAGGGTGAAATTGAAATCACTTAACAGAGAAATATAATTAGGAATTATATTGTTTGCTTGTTATATGCTTTTAAAATTTGTGTATTGGACTTTGTAAATATGTTGTTACTAGATTAAATCTACATGTATACAAATTGAAATACTGGTGCATTTTCTGTGATTTCAAGTTTAAGTACATGTGTATTACAATTTACAATATGTGTACTATTAGGGATTTCTATCTCGGATGGAAAGCCTTATTGTTTTTGTTACATTTCCTCTTACGATTACTGTTTTGGATTTCTGGTCTACACAATTCAACAGATCTGCATATTCCTCTTTGATTATTGTGCAAATTGAGCTGTCTTGATCTGTTTGATCACTACAAGGGGGTTGAATACCTAAAAAAAATGTTTCTTGTGGAATATCAACTGAAGGTAGTCTCACCACCTCTCTGTGGTATATAGGCCTGGAAAAGTTTGTAGCCATACATAAACAACTATAATATTAAAGTATCACCACTGATATTGCACAAAATTCTGAACATTACAAATATCATGGTCATTAGCACAGTAGACATGTAAGCTTACTGCATTTTTTGTGAGGAAGTATCAGAGCTGACAGCCCTATGTGCTCTAACAATAAACATATTTCTTCCCTTCAAGTCTGTGGATGTATACATTGAAAATGTTTAAACAGGAAAGATATTCTAATATGATCATTTTTTTATTTTGCTATCAATCCTGTGCAAACAAACTTTACCCAAACACATCTCCAGACAATAGTCCAATGAAAACAGTATGGGTAAGTTACCTGTTTTAAGTTGTAATACCCATACAGCTTTACCAAGTTTGTAATACCCCATACAGCTTTACCAAGTTTGTAATACCCCATACAGCTTTACCAAGTTTGAAATACCCCAAACAGCTTAACCAAGTTTGAAATACCCCAAACAGCTTTACCAAGTTTATAATTCCCCATACAGCTTTACCAAGTTTGTAATTCCCCATACAGCTTTACCAAGTTTGCAATACCCCATACAGCTTTACCAAGTTTGAAATACCCCATACAGCTTTACCAAGTTTGAAATACCCCATACAGCTTTACCAAGTTTGTAATTCCCCATACAGCTTTACCAAGTTTGTAATTCCCCATACAGCTTTACCAAGTTTGCAATACCCCATACAGCTTTACCAAGTTTGCAATACCCCATACAGCTTTACCAAGTTTGTAATACCCCATACAGCTTTACCAAGTTTGAAATACCCCATACAGCTTTACCAAGTTTGAAATACCCCATACAGCTTTACCAAAGTCAATTAGTACTAAAATGTCTATTGAAACATAGAGAATATTGATGTAAAAAAAATATTCCAGTTTAAAGGAAGATCAGCACATGATTGTTACTACACATTTTGTTTTATTACCCAGAAGAATTATGAGATCGAGGTCGGAATCAACAACGAAGCTACTGAAAACCAATGCAAGCTGACAAATGGAGGCTATGATAGAAATTGTAACAAGAGACAGATCATGGTTGCTTTTGAGACCGACTTGATTGTATATGCCCAGATGTAATGTGGAACATATCATGGTTTGGCCTGCTTGCTTGCAATATCCTGTCCAGCTCAGTTAAGCTTTAAATTGCTTTCATATGCAGTAATGAATGCCAACTGCATTACAGGAAAATGACATGAACCACATTATGATGTATATTGTATATAATTTCCAAATTAGAAGACCAAAGTACATAGCCCAGTCAAATTAAACCTCTTTTTCACTTCATGATAATACTATCATTAAACAGTCCAGAAAGGTATATACTACACGTCTCTAAACAGCCTCACCATTTTACACTCGGTTGAATCTTAAAAAAAGTCTTTTGACTTAAAACGTATGTATTGTCCACATGGGTACACAGGATTTGGCACAAGTTATTGCAACTTATGAAGCCGTCTCCTATCAACATTTTAAAAACAAGTGATTACATAGACAATTGCAACTAATACAAGTAATGGTAGAAAGTCACCAAATACATATGTACATGCATTTTATACTCTAAATCTTTCACTGGACCTAATAAAAGTTTGCAGAAAAGCTAAAACAAATCTATAGAAGAGACACAAGTTCCCAAATCTCCACCTAAATTTCTACTTACTTAAAATTATATGTAAGTGAAATTAAAATTCAAAAAGGCAATATTAAACTCTGCCTCACTGTACTTGGCGATATTCAAATACAATGTGTCCACTTACATTTAGGTTACACAACATTGACTTTATGGAGTTTTTTTTAACAAAGTTTATTAAAAACGAAATGATATTTTGAACACCTTATTAAATGTAACATCAGCACAATTGGGCCTAGTTTTTAGATGTCGGAAACAATGTGGACGTCTGGTCATATATCTTGACTTCAGCTAAACTTTTGACAAAGTGCCACACCGCTTGCTGCTATAAAAACTACATAAATATGGAATCAGAGGTAAAATTCTCGCATCATGGATTAGGGAGTTTTCAAATCAAAGGGAGTAAAATACTCAAGTCTCCCAGTCACAACTGGAGTTCCCCAGGGAAGCGTCCTTGGCCCCATACTATTCTTGATCTACGTCAACGACGTGCCTGTAAAACCAAACTATTTGCGGACGATACCAAACACAGCAACTCCAGACAAAAATCGACAGAATAAGTAACTGGACCGAGGGCTGACTAATGAAGCTAAACACCATGAAGTGCGAACATATGGAGATTGGTAATAACCCCAAATCATCAGTATATAACTCGACGCAGGATGGACAAACAACTGAAATAGAGAAAGTGGCCACAGCAAAGGACCTTGGAGTACACTTTGACCACAGGGATATGATAATTCGTTACAGCTATATTTGGACCTAAACTAAGGTGTTCAGAGTAATTTTACATGTTTTAGTGGTTTAGATCGACTTTCGGTAAAATTGACACACCCAATGATCATATTTTTTAACGAGAAGGGAGGAAATATCGATCTTTAAATGCCGAACTCGCCTAACTTTCTTGCATCAAAAACAATATTTCTAGTTGATCTACGGGAAAATGCTTAGTACCGTTGGAAAGATGGATAATTTTCTTCTTTAAACCTCATGCAAAATGTATTCTCCTTCCGCGGACATGAACTCCGATTAATAAATGGATATTAATACCATGTTAGCCCGGGTTTCCTCTGTCCTAGTCCGAATTATTCTGACGTTTTATCGACTTTTTTTCATATAGGTCTGGCAGGGCCGCATTATTCTTACGTTTTATCGACTTTTTTCATATCGGTCTGGCAGGTTCGGATTATTCTTACGTTTTTTCGACTTTTTTTCATATTGACGCCAGACCGATATGAAAAAAAGTCGATAAAACGTCAGAATAATTCGGACCTCTGTCCCTGACAACCAACCTAATGATAAACCTTGAATGACATCTGAATTCAAAAAACAACAATGAAAATTAGAGATAAGTTGCATAAAATCGCTAGGGCAACAAAACATCTTACGAACATCAACAATTTCAAATCTAAACGCAATAAGGTCAAAAATATGAAACAGCATGCCCGTAAATTAGTTTATGAAAATGTTCATGGTTTTTGGATGTATGAATGTATCACATGTTGTAACAATTGTATATATAATTGAATAAAAGTATATATGAGATAAAAAAAAAAAAAAAAAAAAAAAAAAAAAAAAGAAGAAGAAAGGTTAATACAATCGTCTGGTACACATTCTATACCTACGCTTGTAGCTCCTGTTTCTGACAATGTGGTTACTAGTAATGAAGACAAATTAAGCTAATTTATTAGAATACTACTTTTGTGATATAACTCGTGTAGATGACAGAAGTACTGCGGTTCCTTTAATCGAGTCAAAATCTGACATGAGTCTTAGAGTTACTAATAATGAAATACGAAATATTTTACAGATATTGAAGCTTGGTAAGGCCTCGGGTGAGGATGGAATCTGTCCCCATATGCTACGAAACACATAAGAAGCTGTTTGCGTTCACGTTGAAATAATTTTTAATATGTCTTTATCGTTTGGTGTTTACTCAAACTCTTGGAAAACAGCCAAAGTTATGCCACTGTTTAAAAAAGGTGAAAGGCTTTCTCCCTCTAACTACAAGCCAATTTGTTTGATCGGACTTGGCATAAGGGTTTGATGATTAAGTTAAAATCCAATGGAATTTCAGACAAATTTTATCAATGGTTGGAAAATTACCTATTTCAGAAGCACCAGAGAGTCGTTTGAAATAATTCCTAGTCACACTTTACTTAGGTTTCATTGAAGAAGGTGTTCATCAGGGTTCGATTCTTGGACCTCTTTTTTTTTTTTTATCTACGTATACTTCTTTGTTAAAGTCATCCTCTTCATGTCTAGACATCCAAACCGTTTTGAATAGAGATCTCGAGTCTCTTTTTTGTTGTTGTATTTTTTTATTTTTCAAGTCAACTACAAACTACTCGTGGTTCAGCATAACACTCACTTCACTCAAGATCATCAGATTATTTATCATCATCAGCATCACGTCATAATGACACTCATCATCATCATCATCATCATTATCATCATCATCATCATCATCATCATCATCATCCTGCCATACTACTCCTCGTCATATTATAGTCATCGTTATCATCTTCACCATCGTCATCATAACAGTAAGACGACATCATCATCTTATCACTCGGTTATCATCATAATCATCACATCATAATGAAACTCGTCATCATAATCATCACCATAATAATGTCGAGTCTCTTAATGCATATTAATTATTTGAAGATAGGTACAATTAATTGAATATTTGTTAATTTGGCTTTCTATAGAGACCGGTATAAAACCAGTATCGATGATGTTTATATACGACACGTCTCCGGTTTTGGGATATGAGATATCTCATAATCTTAACTATGTATGTCTTTTTAGATGATTATGGTATTCATATCTATTTTTTCTGTTATTTTCATGCGGGGAGTTGTCTGCATAACGGTTAAGTGCGGTAACTCCTACGTAGACAAATACCAATTACTTGCTCTATTCAGTCATACATGCACATACGTGTGCACATAATTATAACTATAAAATAGTCCCACATATTCTAAACAGTCGATCAAAATTTTTAAGATTTGATAAAATGAT